TTGTTGTTGATATTTTGCGTCAACGCTTCTACAACGTACTTGAACTAAAGAGCCTCGCGAGCAAAAACAATGACTGCCACGAACCTAATCCCGAGTAGCACCAATATTTGATGGTGACTTTAGCTCACTATGTTACGCTAATTTCATAAAAAAGCACAACGTGTAGATTTGACTTTTTCGATGGTTAGCATGGCTTTTACGAGTGATTTTATTGTCTGGAGGCTACGCTTCGTTGAGTATCACTACTGCTTAATTAAGACATAGACAGAAGTTACAAGACATCCCTCTAAATTATGCCTAAATGGCATTCAATAAGTAGGGTCCTCTTTCAAACATTGAGTGCCTACTTTCGATTCGTTAATGTTGATGTTAATTACCCTTTTTGGCCTCTGTATCATATGCACATAAAATAATCGATTGTAATCATGCTCGTCAACACGAACGGCGTCTAACGCTCCAGCATTGACTCATCCTTTGTAGAAATGTAATAAAATCAGTTGCGATCATAAATAGAACCAAATATCATGTTTTGACTTGTGGACGATAACAGGTGACGAAATGATCTACAAGGAAAAATTGCGGTTGAAAAAAATTGTTTTCATTTGAATAATCCTAAATATATATTTATTGGCAATTTGATGAACAATTGAAAAGAGAAGAGCTGTCAAAATAAAATAAAAATTAAAAAAAAACCGAGCGTAAAACAGACTGAAGGCTGCAGGTTCAATCATACGCCAGAAACCGTAAAGAAAACATCAGAAAATATTGTACTTAAGCTCATTATTAAATGTAGTCACAGCAGAACGTTTTCAACACCACGTGAGCTATTGTCAACATTCCGGCTTTACGAGAGTACATAGACGGGAACATACATCGGCTTTTTTTTTGTTTGTTTGTTGTTTTAACAGTCCCTTTGACCAAAACCCAACATGCCAAATAAGTTTTCAGGATGAATTTCTCAGGGCATAATTTGTTAACGGGAAGGATGTGACAAGGACATATTTCGAGGGTATTTGGGGTAATTCTTGTATAGCACACTGTTCACAACTGGTTTTTTTAGCGCACAATGTTTCCTTTGCAATTATACTCTAGTTCGGCACGAAAAGTTCGCCGCTGTAAATGCCAGTTTACTAAATGAATTCAATTGTCCCTAAATCAAAAAGCTCATTCCTTCTATTTAACTGGTATATTTCTAATTTTCAACTCGGATAATACGTTGATGAGAAAAGGCAGGTAGATTAAAAGGGGCTAGGGTCCTAAATTCTAAAATTTATCCATCAATAATCACCGGTAAGATCCTCACAAGACTGGCTGGCGACTTTCATAGCGATAAAGGGAACCTTTCGCCGTAGTCACATGTTTTAAAGGAAAGTTTCGGAGCCTTCAGCAATTGGTTTGCATACATGATATGGCCTCTTCCATTTGTTTATAAGATTAAGGTAATATTCATCGAGCACTTTGACGATGAGGAATCCAAGGGACATTGACTTGCATGTTAAGCTGTTTTCCTAAAGTCTCCATCAAACTGTGTATTCCTGTGAAGCCTCCCACAAACAAGATTTTTTCCATGAATTCTACCAGCTTCCATTAGCTTCTCCTGTGGCCGGGTGACGTTTATTGTTGTACCTCCAATTTATCGAATCGTAGTCTAAGTTGTTCGACTTGCTCTTGCGACTTGATTCCCTCTTACTCCCGAGATCTCATTACTAATTATCCTTACTCTGATATACAATTCTCATGATGTTAGTTTGAGGAATTTAGTATTGGATCACCTAATAATCCCTTAATTGATATTTTTCCTGATTCTCATCAGTCGTCTGCCTGATACTGTATTGATATTGTAGGAAGAAGTTATATCTAGGTCACTCGTAGGAGTATCTCCTTCGTTTGTAACAGCAGGATAACGCTCTCTGATCTTGAATTCAATTTTAGACGACGACTTAATGTAGTGGACACAAGGTTTGAAAGTTGTGGAATAATTCTTGGGTGTATCCTCGGATATTCCTCGGTTTTAGCTAGGGAACATACGGTCATGTTATTCATTTAAACCAACTGCGAGTAAAAATATGACTGATTATCATTACTTTACCCAAACCGAAACAAATTTTTATCAAAAAGAGCTATCTTTTATTAAGACAAACGGAACAAAAAGGCAGTGTTTCAGGAGAGGTCAGAATTTTTCCAGCAGATTTTGCAGTTAAGCATTGTCGTGAAAACGGTGTTAGTACACGGCAATTTTCCTTTCCGTTATAAGTCCTGGAATGCCAGTTCCTTTCTCAGCCCTGCCTCACGCGTATTTTCGGCGATGAACAGGTCACCAATTTATGCCCAGTCTTGCTACGGTTGAAACATCGTACTAGAGAGAGGAACGAAAGGCGAGAAACTATAAGATGAGGAATGAATTCAGATATATACCTTTCTACTGACTCAAACTCAAAACTAACCATCCTTAACACTGATGATACCACAAGCTATGGAGCTGATGTATCTCCAAATACACTGGAGTTTCTGGTCAACAAAGATCTGGCTCCTAAAAAACCATCTCAATGTTAACAACAGCAAGACACAGACATTCTCCGTTGGCCTATGCAAATATGACTTAGAACTTTCCATGGACCGCACTAAGAGAGACATTGCTAATAATGTTAAGATTCTAGGAGTAACCCTGAATAGTAAATTAAAATTTTAAAGTCCACATTTCAGAGCCACGTACTTTTGCTATGGCCGCAGCTTTGAGACGCCTATCAATACGGTGATCATGTTATAAAGGTATTTATTGTCCACACCTATAATACTGCGGTCCTTTCATGCTAGGCCAAGGCAAAGTTCAAAGATTTGGTGGATGTAATAGAAAGCGAAAACTTGTGAAAAGATTCCGTCAGAAGAAAGAGAATTCGAGCAAAAGCTAGCACCTCGCAGGGAAAACCTGAAACGTCAGACTCCGAGGACTGGGACGAACAGCCACCCAGTTCATCCGCGAAGAATAGGCCTTATTCGTATTCCCGGACGGCCTTGGGCGAGTGCACGATGTCGA